CTTTAGTAAAATTTAACCAGACTATTTTTAGTGACGTATAGTTTTTAAATTGTTTCTCAATGAAGTTTGGTGAGAGAAAATTTTATTTGATACACTTTTTGCAGTTTAGACTTTGCTCTTTCAAACAAAAAGAAAGCAAAGTCTCTAGAACAATGGGAGCATAGAGAAACAGCGCTCGACATTTGTTGTAAACTTATGCATAACCCGTTACAGAGTTAAAAGGTCTATACTCGCAGAAACAATACAATAATACAAATAATTGAAGAAACAATCTAATGGAATGTAGTATTAGTTAATTCGTTCACCGTTCAACACTAAGTATCGCACCAGATCTTTAGCAATACATTCTCTTCATTCAGATGATCAGTTACGTTTCTTTGTTGCTTCTAACTTCAATGAAATCTTCAGTAAAATACTACGTGGGAAGCATACAGCTACACAGTGGACATTTTTCTAATAGCAGGTGGACATCAGAATTATTTGCTCGTAAATCGTTTTTTCATGAATGATTATCATTCTTTAGTCGTCTCTGATACTTTTAAACAAAAACTAAACGTTTTGAGTAAAAATTATTTTTTCGAAAAATCGGTGTCATAGGTACATGGCAAAAGGTTTCAATCGATATTTTTTCCAATCAAAACTTATTGTATTATATATAGTTCGATGGAGCTCGTCGAGCTGATTCTGAATATCACCTTACTTTTCAATGCAAGCGTTCCTGGACTGAGAAAACTGAACGTTACCTTAAAAACCAAAGGTTTTTAGAAAACCTATATCTCAGTCCTGAAGAAAAATCGCATAAAGTCGCATTCATCATAGATGCGTGACACGTCAACGAACATTTTGGTTTAATTTTAAGTCAAATTGGAGCTGAGAAAAATCGTGGAAAATCATTGCTTTCCAAGTGCCTTTTCGGAAACAGAGTTAGTTCCGAAAAATAATTTTTTTCTAGTATGTCAGATGTTTAGCAAAACTACAGTTTTTACAGATCAGTACCTAACGATGCCTAGATTTAGAATACATACAGTTTTTGAACTTAAAACGGCTTAGTTTGTTACAAAATAATTTTTCTCAGAGGTCGCTAGTTTTTAGTCTATTTTTTCGGAGATAAATTTTTCCAAAAATTATCGCATTTAGAACGAAAATTTTTATACCATGAAATAGTCTGTCAATCAAAGTATATTTACAACTATCTGAATTTCGAAAAAATGCATTTTAGATTTTTCGCTAAATGTCCATCTGGATGCCCACTGTGAGCTGTTACCAAAAAACATTGTCCTCGTGATTCTCACTATTGTTTCCGTAGTTCAAATTTAATTTTCTTGTGCCTATGGAGGGCACTCCACACGATGTCATATTAGAGTACGATTTTCACTGATGCTAAAAAGAAAAATGCGCAAAATATGTATTAAAATTAGAAGTTTCAAAATTATCCTCAATGGTTGTTTAGCAGCTCCCTCCTATATTCAAACCAGAAGTGTTAAGAGTAATTGAACTGCTCTTAGCCTATCATCATATCGTAGAGTAGTCAATTTTTCAAGAATTTAAGGAGGTTTTTGTGACCTTTTGGATATTTCCACCGCCCTTTAAAACCTCGCTGGAAGTTATTCTGGCTTTAACACATATTTTGATCAATTTCCAGCACAGTGTGAATGAAAAGCATATTAAAATACACAATCTTAGAGTATTCCTTCTAAGAACCGTGACGAGAACTACGAAGGTAATACTTTACGCGAACAGCGGTAGAACATAACAAGAAAAAGAAATATCAAGCCCAGCTGATATATACGTTCATTATTTTGAGAACACGAACGAGACACACACACATGAAAAGATACATCTGAAAAAATGACGCTGCATTCTGGCAAAAAAAAGAAGAACATGACAAACACAGCGTAAATTATGAATATAAATATTCTGACCAAGCAGAAGAACGTGGAATAATTTTACTATAAAAAGTAGTCAGGTGTTCGACGTGTTACGTGTGGTTCACCGCGTCTTGGCGCCGGATCAAACTGTAAAAAGGAATATTTGAGTGAATCATCCAGTTCCATGATAGCTGCTTGATTTCCACAACGATAACAATAATTAGGAGCACTGAAGATTGTGACGACATTTTTATCGTGACACCTAAGAGAAAAAAGCGAAGTCAGCAAGAGAGCAGGTAATCAAAGTGGAAAGCCTCAGACGACTTGAAACTTTTGATAATAATTGTCGATGAAACACAAACGTCATGAAATACCCATATATCATACCCTACTTATCGACTAAAAACTGCGAAACAATAATGGCTGTAATAATAAACTCACCAATTATAGCCTTCCATTACCAATTGATGTGCACGTGAGACTAATTGAAGACCGTTCGTATGATTAAATGTCTCTGAAATATCTTGTCCAAATGTGTACCCTGCTCCTCTTGGTGAAATTCCCCATCCACCTCGATCGTCGGGATCTGACCTGTAAATAAAACAGACATTAAATCAAATGTTGCCAGACTTTTCTCTGCCACTCACCATAATAAATCACACATGGGGCCCTCGTGTGGCACTTCTTGAATACGATCTAACGCACGAATATGATCTAATGTATCGATTGACGGTGACAAACCACCGTGTAAACAAAATATTTGATTATCAACAATCGCTGTGAGAGGTAGATAATCGAATAGATCTGTAAAATACTTCCATACATTGGCATTGCCATATTTTCGTAAACATTCATCATAAAACCCATAGACTTGTGTAATTTGACGAGATTCATGATTCCCACGTAAGATTGTGATACGGTCTTTGAAACGGACCTTCAATGCCACTAACAATGTCACAGTTTCCACTGAATAATAACCACGATCAACATAATCGCCCATAAATAAATAATTTGTGTCCGGTGCATTGCCACCGATTTTGAACAATTCCATTAGGTCGTGAAATTGACCGTGAACATCACCGCACACCGTCACAGGACAATGAACTTCTTGGACATTTGACTCTTTGGATAAAATATCTTTGGCACGATCACACAAATATTTGACATGATTCTCTTGCAATTGTTTACACTCTTTCAATTGTTCTATCCATGAATCCAAATCTTTTGAGTCTTTTTTCTCTTCGTTAGTCATTTAGTGCAAAATTTATATTTGAAAAATTTGTAAAAGAATTAAACGGTGTATAAATTTTCTAGAAATAATTGAAAAGATGTAATCTAGCATAGATATCTTATTTACCTATGTTTAACAAAATCTAGACGCCCTAACTTCGGGTTATGGAACTCATACAGCAGTTATTGATTTGTTTTTCGCAGAAATAACGTAACTTAACAGTACTCGGTCACATAGGTGTCCTGGAGAAATATTCTTCGAATATATTAGAAACTACATGTTATTATTGAGTGAATCAGATTATACTTAGGATGATCTTAATTGGGTTTTTCTAAAATTAATTCACCTAGAATGATAATTATTTCTCTCGAAGCACTACGCACGTAAAGGTGACACATAAGCAGTAGAGATGGATAACTCCAACTCCGGAGTTGAACTTCTTTTTAGTGGAGTTGGAGTAGCGTTTTTATTAGGTTAGAGTTCGGTCAGTTCAGAATTTTTCTCCAATCCACAACTCCAGTTTTTTTTTTTTTAATTTTTCTCCAATTACAACTCCGAAAAGTTTTTCCTGTTTCTGTTATGCCGGTAGAGTGAGTGTTTTCGTAGAGTGATTTTCTTTTGCGATTTCATCGATGCAGAATGGTTAAGTACGCTGTCAAAATCAACATTGTTGAAATGGAATTTTGAATTGTGAAACTGACTCTTTTTTAGTGTACTCTTGTAAACAAAAGCGAAATAAACAACTACTAATAACATTAAGAAGAAGATGAATTAAGACAAAATAAGATCCTAACGGAGTTGTAGTTGAACTTGGCCGGAGTTGCTCATCTCTGATAAGCGGTATGTATCTAAAATCGAATTAGTCATGCTGACTTTCTCTATTTGCGATAATATGATGTTACATTCCTACAATACATCATTAAAGTCACATATATGCATGTTCAGAGAAAAACTTGTCTACCTCTACTTTTCTGTTCATATTTGCACTTTCAGCATATATTTTATATTTATTCTTCTCGTTGTTTACACCATAAAGAAGAACGCTAAGTATGTACATATACCCCTCTTTAGCACACACGCTGAAAATAAGGCTATTTTGTATACGAGTTTTTTATAAACAGCAAGGTGGTAATATTGATCTATTTTTGCGTTAGTTCTACCACTTTTTTTACAAAGACGATGTCCTGACTCTACTTCGACTCAACACACTATGAGGACTAAGTATGCTTGGAGAATAATAATTTCATAATATATAATCTTTAGTAAGTAAAAACATTCACTTTGTATATGTGTGTATTGATACGCGAAAACGGACCGGAACGTAAAATAACGACTGCTATGAATGAGAAAACAATAAAAAGTGGCACCAGAAAGCAAAAAAAGATTGAAACACACATACATCTTTATGATGCAACAAGACATAAATTAGACAAAATAAAACAGATCTTTGGAAAACAACAGAAATAAAATTTCCATCGTTCATTTTCATTGTATTAGGCAAAAAACGCAACACCGTTTTCATAGCCGATTGAATAAAAGATGTTTCTATAAAAAGAAAGATTTGATCTGATTTCGGAATATTTTAATAGATATAATTGATTTTTCATTCTTTTTCGCTTTACATAAATTACCTAGGAGATGAATGATTTGCAAAAAGGGAGACAGAGGCATAGGAAAACTTAGATGGTATATTTCTGGATACAGAAAAAATCCAGAGGAAGAATTACACAAAAGAAATCTTCAACATAGTCTCATTGGAACATTATTCTCAAAGCTATTTCACAGAAAAAAATCATCGAGAAAACACCCATATCTTGACAAACAATTATAGAAAATGTTGAAATCTTTGTGTGTGTGAAAAATACTTAAAGTTCAGCAGTTCATTTAAATGTACAGTTTCTCTATAAAAAGTAGTCAGGTGTTCGACGTGTTACGTGTGGTTCACCGCGTCTTGGCGCCGGATCAAACTGTAAAAAGGAATATTTGAGTGAATCATCCAGTTCCATGATAGCTGCTTGATTTCCACAACGATAACAATAATTAGGAGCACTGAAGATTGTGACGACATTTTTATCGTGACACCTAAGAGAAAAAAGCGAAGTCAGCAAGAGAGCAGGTAATCAAAGTGGAAAGCCTCAGACGACTTGAAACTTTTGATAATAATTGTCGATGAAACACAAACGTCATGAAATACCCATATATCATACCCTACTTATCGACTAAAAACTGCGAAACAATAATGGCTGTAATAATAAACTCACCAATTATAGCCTTCCATTACCAATTGATGTGCACGTGAGACTAATTGAAGACCGTTCGTATGATTAAATGTCTCTGAAATATCTTGTCCAAATGTGTACCCTGCTCCTCTTGGTGAAATTCCCCATCCACCTCGATCGTCGGGATCTGACCTGTAAATAAAACAGACATTAAATCAAATGTTGCCAGACTTTTCTCTGCCACTCACCATAATAAATCACACATGGGGCCCTCGTGTGGCACTTCTTGAATACGATCTAACGCACGAATATGATCTAATGTATCGATTGACGGTGACAAACCACCGTGTAAACAAAATATTTGATTATCAACAATCGCTGTGAGAGGTAGATAATCGAATAGATCTGTAAAATACTTCCATACATTGGCATTGCCATATTTTCGTAAACATTCATCATAAAACCCATAGACTTGTGTAATTTGACGAGATTCATGATTCCCACGTAAGATTGTGATACGGTCTTTGAAACGGACCTTCAATGCCACTAACAATGTCACAGTTTCCACTGAATAATAACCACGATCAACATAATCGCCCATAAATAAATAATTTGTGTCCGGTGCATTGCCACCGATTTTGAACAATTCCATTAGGTCGTGAAATTGACCGTGAACATCACCGCACACCGTCACAGGACAATGAACTTCTTGGACATTTGACTCTTTGGATAAAATATCTTTGGCACGATCACACAAATATTTGACATGATTCTCTTGCAATTGTTTACACTCTTTCAATTGTTCTATCCATGAATCCAAATCTTTTGAGTCTTTTTTCTCTTCGTTGGTCATTTAGTCTAAAGAATAAGATAGAGAGCGTGGAAGTTTGTTGAAATAGAAAGTAGAAAAACTGTTCATTGAGTGATATGTTTCCAAGGATCCCACTGATATTCTCAGACTTTCAAAATGTCGCAACCGTTTTGTGAGGCAAGGTAGAACTGAATATGGCAAACGTTTAGTGTCATTTTATCATATACAACTTTCAACGGTAAAACAGATTCGGTTATTGGATGCAACCCGGCGCGACGATATGCAGAATTAATATAAGGATGGATTTTTATGCTTTGTTGCAGTAACACGGATTTTTCGGTTCTGATTTAACGGCTAACAAAAAAATAGTGTTTCCTTTCGTGATCCTTAGACGTTTTTGGGGAGCAGTTTTATCTTTGCTTAAATACATTGCAAAATAATTATATCAATACCCCTCACTCCAAAAAAACGTCTAAGGTCGTAGCAAAGGCGTCCCTTGGTCGTTAGATCATTCATATTCATGGGTTCTTGCTTCATTGAAAGAAAGAAGAGAAAAAAAAGGTTGTTCCTTTTTTTACTGAGAAATTGAACTGAACTGAACTGGATTTCTGAGTCACCAGAGCGTAAATTTTTCTATCACCCAATCAGAAAAGTCCAGTAAAATCAGTTTCTCAGTAAAAAAAGGGACAACCAAAAAAAACACGACCATTACTATACAGCTGTGATGTGATAAAGGTTGAACGCCATGAGGCGTGCTCTACAACTAGTATTGTGAAGTTTTCAAATATTTTTTTGAACCTGTTTAAAAATTATTCTGTAACACGCACAGAACGAGGGATAGTAAAAGAAACAGAGGAAACTAATAACTGTAAGCATATATTTATCAGTTACTGATGCACTATATATTTCAGCATAGCAAGCAGGGATTGGAGGGGCGCCGCTAAGCAACGTATGCAGTACGTAATTAATACGGCCGCTTCTAATAATGAAATCTTCAAAACCGCATGCGCTTTGAATATCTGGGCATCGGTGACGGTAAAATCCTATAAAGATGGCTGGAAGTAGAACGTTTAAGTGCTCTGTGGAGTTAACTGCGCACACGGTATGTTATCCTATATGCCACCTGTTATACAAGGCTGACATGCTTATCAAAAGAGGAAAGGAAAACAGATCAGTCTGAAAGGTAGTTCATTTGTGCAGAATACCAAAATGAAAGAGAAATTTCCAGATGGTGTTTTTCTGAGGTATTAGCTGAAAGCCAGTAGACTCTATCTGAGGACAGCTCTTTTAGGGACTTATCCTGTAGAATGGTGTTGTATGAACCTAGAACTTTTGCTCAAATTTAGATTGGTGCCCCTGGAACAAGACTCAGTACAAAGGGTGATATTTATGTTAACATATGTTTGCTTGGTACGCATAAGAAAACAAGGGTGATGACGCCATATTTTCCTCTTCACATTGATGAAAAGTTATACTTTGATAAAGTTTGTACTCTTTTTCAGTTTTATATAACTCACACTCAGAAGTTTATTTTTCTATATCTAGATCTTCAAGCATTGTGTTGATCCATCCGAAATTGTTCAGCGTCTTGAACGTGAGCTCACATAAGTATGGAATAAAGTAAATCCTGACGATTAAATGTCTCTTTAGGAGAACATATACTTATTGAACTTGTACAAATTAGCGTAAATTCCAGTTACGATACCGTAGTGCTTGCTAGTTTTGAAACAAGCGCAAAAGAATTTCTTTATCCAAATTCGTACGCTCGTCCTCAGTATCATGGTTTAAAACGTTACGTGTTGTTGAGTAGAACAATCGATTTTCCCGGTATCTCTCCTTCTTTTGAGTTTTGTACAACCACTTCGATTACCGAAATAACAGGCATTGAACAGAATACATTGAAATCAAATAACACATTTGTTAGATCTGTAAGTTTTAAATAGGTGTTTTATGAGTTCTGTAATCTTCTAATTTAATTCTAACTTTTTTTTTAGACTAAACGGTCGAAATCTCCCAATTTTGCGCAATCAGCCAATTTTAATCGGTTAGAATTTCCATATTTCAAGTATGATGCATAATTTATTAGTTTTTCTTTGTAGATCTCGACCTTTATCTACATCGAAACGTTTCATGAATTCATCGGTGACGGATCCTACAATTTCGTCTGCTGTAAAAAATGATTATGGAAATCGCGAAATACAAGAAAAATTGAATGAACTGGCTATTCAGGGTGAGGTGAAACATATTGTGCCACTCGATAAAACAAATGGTCGACCGCCATTTGTTGTCAGACATGTATGTAGAACCTCATATTGATAAAGCATCAGTTTAACTCATTTTTGTTGCAGGTTGAAAATCGTTTAATTGGACGACAACCAAAATCTCATATTGTGTTAAATGATGGTCTTGTTGTAAATGATTTTACTTATGCGTAAGTAGAAGTAGAAACTTTACTGTTATTGTTACCATAAATATACTTATGGAAAAAAGCAATAAACACGCTATTGCCATTTTATGTACTTTTAATTTTATCATTTTAGTCAATCAAGACCCGAAAGTGCTTTATCTTATTCATACAATGAAAATAATGAGCGAAGATCACGTTCTGTCTCCCCAGTTACAGGTCGACATGTATCATTTTCTAGACATACTTCATTTCCCGTTCGTAGTCGATCATCATCTTATTCACGTCCAAAAACATCTCAGTCACTAGATTTCGATGACAGACGTTTATCACATTCTCGTACAAGACATAGCCGGCAACAACAAAAGCGTTCTCGATCACGATCATCATCACCAATAAAACAACATTATAATGACAATGATAACACAACATTATACAATAGTACTAACTATCGTAGTAACGATTTTGATCATGATTATTATAATGATGGTATAGTATTGTGTTGTATTTCTTTCAAATTTTGACATTCCACATACACATTTTCACGTTCGTCGTGTTTAGAGCATATTAAAACACAACATGCAGATAAAGATTGCGCAATTTGTCAATTACATCGTTCACATTTGCAACAAAGTCGCATTTCTAAAGCTGAACAACAGGTAGCAGAAAACATTCTGCTATTAAAATTTAAATAAAATTTATTTTTTTCTCTAGAGGCAATTTTTATCTGCATCCAATAATCAGTTGAGTTCAAAACACCTATCATCTGGTAACAAAAAATAAATATTAGATTTTATGTTCATGCACACGCTTGTGCTCAGCACCTATACATCCTTTGTTGTAATGTTTTTAAGTCCGAACATTTGATCCTACTAAAAATGCATAGTATTCACTCACACAACCAAATGTATCACATAGCTAAAATCCAGTAGTAATGATTGAAACTAGTTCATTGTTTTGTAGGATCGTACTCTCGTTCAATAAGTCCAACCTTATTAAAAAGCTCATTTCGAAATCGTTATGGTTATTCACCAGCAACTGATTTGAGTGATAGAGTTATATCAACATTAAGACGTAATTTAGACTCTTATGTAAGTAATAAATCTCACTAAAAAATTGATGTTAATGGTGATTTTTGTACTTTCAGAGTAGTCAACCACGACATAGGTACTATTCAGCCTATCGATACCATAATAATCATATGGATGACGATGAACTAATAGAGCGTAGTCGTCGTTTAACACAGTACTAAATTTTATCTCAAAGTCACTAGTAGGGGTACGTTGTTTTGTTTCGAATAGTCTGTTAGATTTAAAAAATTTTATTTTTAGAGAGAATGGAAAAGGTAAATACATAACGACATACCGTCAGTGAATGAACAATTTAATGAATTTTTAATGTGAATTTAGAAAAGTAATTTAGTATATTATCTATTTTATATTTTTATCGTTCCTTTTCTAGATGTTCAGTTTCTTAATAGGATTTTTAATAACTCAGGTTGAAGGATTGTGAATAGATTTGGTATTTTGTATACCTGTATTTTTTCCCTTTCTATGTTAGAAAATTTTTTTATTCAATAAGTGGGTGTCCATAACGTTGCACTTTCTGGAATGCTTAAATAAATAAGCAATTTTAGTTTTGTACGATTTTTTTTTTAAACATATTTATCCTTGTCAGCGTCATGCTTGAGTTTTCTTTTGAAAAGTTTGTTCTAAACATGAGAAACCAAAGTGTTAAATGTTTAGTTTTCCCTTTCTATAATTTTAATTACTATTTTTACGGTTAAATGTAACAAGAGTTGATTATTTTTCTAACAAATTATATTTTTTTGATATATTAGCTTTCTATGTATACTACGGTATATATATATATATACATAATATTTTCCTTAATAATAAAACAATGAATTTTGAAAAATATCATACTATCAACATATGCGAAGTATTGTGATTAGTTCTTTTATACAAAATGAATGTACCGTATGACGGACATGAGATAATTGTATATCGGCTCGGAAAAAATGCTGTCATTATTTTGCTTCTTAAAATTCAAAGTATTGTGCTATACCACAAAATAATAAACGAATGATAAATTATCGAATATGGACGTTTTTTATTCCTTCGATTTCTGAATGAATTTTATTTATAATATTTTTCTATCATACTTTTTTTTCCTACACACGCATATCAAAGTGAAAAATGAGAAAAAAAACAAAATTTTATAAACAATCTAAGAATTATACATATCTCGAAAATATTGGTGTGTAGAAAACAAAAACGAGTAGATGTGAGGCATTTCAGCTGGTGAAACTATATTGTGATCACATATGATTAAATTTTTCGACATTATCTTGGTTATGAACACGGTGAAAAGTAACAATATAAAACAAAATGCAGAAAAAAAATATTCATTGAACAAAATTTTTGGCAAACAACACATATTATATATACTTGATTCTTAAAAATTAGAAATAAAAAGAACGAACGAACGAACGGACATATTATAAATATGTACATTATGACGCTTCTCTGAAATGAACTGTTATACGTCACTGGCAAAATGATCTACCTAATGAACTGTTAGTTTATTATACGGTTGTATTTAATGGAATCCTGACGTCATAATGTATCGATACGATATCGTTAGTCGCTCAAATTTTAACGAAAACTGGCTCCGCTTAAAATCACAGAATATTTATATTTCGAATGTATAAGAGAGAAAAAAAGATAAGACAATTGTTTTCATATAGTATTTTTATCTACAATGTGAATTGACTATAACGATAGAAAACAAAAAACTTTGAACAAGGACGTTTAGACAATTGTGATGCTTTAAAAAACAGAAAAGAATTGATGCAAGAAGCCAACTATCCAATTTCTATTAGAAAAAAGTTCCCGAAATCATCTAAATAAGTTAAAAGAACAATAACAAAAACACAAAAGTTAATAAATTAAATTGAAAGAGAGAGAAAATGAAAATTTCTCTGTATTTATGTTCCATCTTATTATAAGACTTGTAGAGAATAATGTTTTTTTTTAGAAGAAATCTATATTCATGTATTCAGAACATTTTATTTAATTTGTTGTATCACCGTTATTGGTTGGTCCTAGATAAGAGAAAAGAAACAAACAGTTATATACGGGAACGAGTATGGAAGCAGCGAATAATAGGCGTAAGAATTTATTAATAAAATTCAAAAAGTTTGATAAAGAATGGACTTGAAAAAATGCTCTTTCTGATGTTAGAATACACTAATAATTCGTTTGTTTGCATAATACATACATATGCATATATATATATATACATGAAAATTTCATTATTTCACAAAAATAAAATAAGAGTACAAAGTTGACTGGTAAGTTTATTTGGTGAGCGTTTTTTATTCAAATATGTGAACAAGTCAACTGCAATCATGTCCACATTTTAAAATCAAATTGAGAATTAAAGAAATATTTATAAAGCCAGGAAAGAAAACATTTTACAGTGTAAACTAAAAGTTTATGAAAAATAATATTTGAAGTGATAATTTGGCTCGATTTGTAATGATAAAATACTTTTTAACTAAATAAGAAGCTTTGATTAATAATTAAATCTAATATTTTTTATTTTTGATATGTCGATAATGCGTATTATGACTCAAAAAACGTATTAATCAACAGATATTAGGAAATTTATACGAAAATTAATCTCTGATACTTCAGCATCATTAACATCGTACATATTTTGTGCTAACAATGTTTGTTGATCTGCGGTATGAAAAAAAAATGATGTGGCAACTAACGACGAACAGGCGAGAGAAAACCGAAATAAAAAAGCAAGCTCATTTGTCAGAACCTACCCGGAATGAAATAATTGGATTGTGTCATCGTTGATGTAATAGCACCTAAGTCATTCAAAGATAAATTTGGGTTGACAGGTACCGCTTTTGATGCTAAGATATCAACATAACGTGATTGATTTTCTAAAATATACGGAAAAATATCTAGCATTAGCTTGACTTTGATCTTTACTAAAACGTAAACTTCAGAGATAAACCTACGGCGATTTTTCAAAGAATATTGATTTGATGTGTTTAGCGGTGGGGTCTGAATTTGTTGCTGTTGTTGTTTTTGCTTTTCTCTTATATTCTGAAGCTTTTGTTGAGCTTGTGATAATGGCGAAGTCTGATACTGTTGAACCATTGATGGTTGCTGACTTAGATTATTTGCTGACAAAGGTGGTTGGTGCTGTTGAGACTGCATTTGAGAATCAAACGGTTGTGGTTGCGAATTAAATTGTGGTGGTGATTGTGTCGATTGTATTTGAGAATTTAATTGTGCTGGTTGTGACTGGATTTGGCTAGACACTGTTGTTGTTCTCGCTGAATTGAAATTAACTGATCTTGTTTGTGCTTGAGTTGTGGACGTTGTGTTTGTCATTGGATTGAGTTGTGAGGATTGTGAAAGTTGTTGTGGTATGACTGAAGTAGCCATTGAATTGAAATGCAGAGATTGTTGAGACGAAGTTGTGTTTGATTTGTTCCCAGGTGATAATGACGCATTTACCGATAGTGGTGTAATTAATGCTGATTTATTTTCATCAGCGGGTTTGTTTGGAACAATCGATCGACCACCTTTTTCATCATAGTTCAACTAACAGAAATCAACCATCATTTTATTATTTACAAAGGATGAAGGTTTAATTCGAAGATGCTTACTGCTATTTTATCATTGGATAAATGCTCGTGAGGTAGTTTCTTTGGCCAAATTGTTGTAATTCGATCAAAAAAACCACCAATCATGCTAGTTTTGGGCTGTTGTAGATTTGAATTTACATTCGACTTTCCCCGTGGTACCATTTTGTTCTCGCCACTTTTATTCTACAAAAAAACAAAATATGTACACAATCATTTTTGTGAAAAAGAGTAACGCAGTTAGCCAGATTATACCGAAAAAACAGAATCGTCATCATCCTCATCATCCTCATCATCGTCATCATCAAAATAATCATAAGATTTCTTTGTATGATAACCATTTTGTTGCAAGTGATTGTCGTTTGTGCGATATTCATCATATACCTGCTAAGAAGAATAAATAACAAATGTTTCATAAGAAATAAAACAGAAGTAACTCTAGAGATGAAAAAGGCCGCAGTTTGAAGACTCAAAGTTGTTACAAAAAACAGAACGCATTAACGACGCAGTGCATAGCGTTATTTAACGCCGAAAGCAATTACGTGTAAGAATTATGTGAAGCATGTTCACTCAATATTGCGACATTGATTTTATTAGTTGAGACATACAGTACAGTAATTAGGAAAATTACCGCCGATATTGTTGGATACTGTATTAATTGTAAATGATTGTTAGGATCGAAATGATTGTCATATAGTACGGAATTGTTTTTTATCATATTGTCAGTGCTATTTTGCGTATGGGGGAACGAATCTGACACTTTAAGTAGTTCCTCTTGCTTTTTTTGTTCTTGCCAATGCAGTGGTGAAGCTATGCTACCATTAAACGCAATTGCGGATGATCGTCAGAGACTGCATCTACAAACTATGATTAAATGGGTTTCATAAGGCCTTCCCTCTAGTCACTAATAGCTCATTTCTAAACTCTTTTCCATATTTCTTTTTAAAACATAAAGCATCAACTCACTTCATTCAATGGCAATGTTTCTCTTTCTGACTGGAGTATTTGTTGTGATGACTGCTGATGTTCTACGCCTGGTGGTTGGTACCACGTTTGATGTGTTGACATTTGATCTGGCATTATATAGGATGGCTGTTTGTTTGGAATAAGAGACTGCGATGATATTTGAAATGGTTGTTGTTCAGTCGGAATTTGAAAATGTTGCCGTTGTTGTTGAGGTACCTCAGTTTGAGTTATCCGAGGTTCTGGATGATTTTGTTGCTGTTGTGCTGTTTGCCACTGTTGATCTGACAGATTTTGATTGTAAGATTGTAGTTGCTCTTGCTCTTGTACTGGTTGATAGTACGAATTTTGTTGTTGATTGGAACTTGTATCTACTAAAATGTTAGTTAATTGATGTTTAAATACTAATGTCAGAAAATACCAGAATGCTCTTGATTTTTGGTGTTTAGTAATCTGACACAGATGTTATACATACCTCTACATTGGTTGAGATATAAAGAAGCGTTTCATTTCTATCCAAGAAGGGAAAAACGGCTCCGGGAGCTTTTCAGAACCCTTGCAAATGCTATACGATGCTAAGAAGGCAACACAATCGTCCTTTTCCCCGTGTATTTACCTGTTAGATTGTTGTAATAGTTTGATGCAAGAGTATTTTGGGTTTGTGAGTACGATGGTAGTTCACTATTAGTAGCAGTAGTCGGATAATTGTTTGCAGACTAAAATTTAAACAACAATCTTTGAATGACATTGAAGAGAAATACTAGATCCTTACATAATTTGTGGAATTGTATTGGAACGAAGGCGGAGGTACTGATGCTGTTTGTGTTGGTAATGAAGACGTAAATACGTCTGCTGATGGTGGAGAAGGCACGAATAAATTGGAGCTTGTTTCCTTATTTTCGATATCTAAATAAAAAATTAATTTATAAACTAAATCCAGAAAAATGACCTAGTAAACATACAATTTTCTACTGGCTTCTGGGAATTTTGAAACTGATTATTATCTGTTAAGTTTTGTGATATGGTTTTATGGAATGTTTTGCCCTTAAAAAGACGAAACAATAGTTCGTATAACTTTTATCATTAAATAAAAAATCTTACGAGTATTATTTGAAAGAGATGTCGTATTTTGATGAGCCATGATGGATCTTCATACGTAGATGGATCTAACTGAAAATTTCGATTGAATGCACGTGATTTTTCGGCGATCTGAAGTAGGAGTAAATTATATTTAGAACAAAAGTGTCTGACGTTAGACGGACAGCGAAACCTACCGTAATAAACAACTGTAAATCAGACAGTTGCAGATGGGTCAAATTTCCTTGACTAATTACTAATGTTCGACCAATCTCTTCACAATAAGCAAAAGCTTCTTGTCGTAAACCATACAAGACTAATTTTGATGTGTAATAGATTTTCAGTGGCTAAAATAACCAACAGAGAATTTTTTTATTATATTTTTTCCAGACACAAATAACGCCAAATAAAGGCACTTACAGTAAAAGTCGGTAACGATTTTCGAATGGCATATTCATACACTTCTGTCAACTGTATATTGGTTAGTTCAGCAAATGATAGATGCGATTGTCTAAACAGATATAAATTTTAGACGAGAAATATTTTTATATCATCATCCATAATGAAACTTACCCAACATGAGTACTTCCAAGTACAGCTAATTTATCTGCATTGTTTCTATAAGAACCAAATGGTATATTGCCAATTAAGTAACAAAAATGACTTGAATAGATACGACCAGATGATGCTGTGAAACGAAAATAGTAGTTGTGAAATAATAGTTGAGACAGTATGAAGGTCATCTCACCGAGTGTATCACCCATAGTTTTTATACATAGATCAACAAAAGATGCATTCGATTCTGTACGATTTGCTACAATAACGGCCAAATGTCTTCGCCAATCGCCATAATGTGGTTTAGTTACATTCTGGAAATTTAAAGATTAAAAAAAGCATTGAAATCTATTGTTTATGAACGTCGAACAAAACTTACAGTCACTACCGATGGTGTTGATCCAGTTCCTAATTCATAAAATGTTTTCAAAATATCACCGTTATCAAGATTAGAAATAATACTAAAATATGAAAATGATTTAACATTAGTGAAGTGTAGTATAATGTTTATAATAACTTACTCGCTCATGGTTTTTTTAAATAAACGTTCGTCCGTCTGATAAGATATAATCAATGCGTGAGTATCAAGATGATTTTTACAAGCAAATTGTACACTATTATCGATTTCACCGAGCATCAAAAATTCTCTCAATGAATTTTGTACGATTGATGTTTGTTGATCATTTGTCGTAGATGATGGTGATAATTCATGTGAATTGTTTAAAATGGTGTCCGAAGTACTTGCTGTCCATAATAACTTTGGAATGTCGATGCGCACGTCAATCATCTAAAGAAAAAAGTTTTTCTTTACTTTTTCAGTTCATATGTCTCTGTTTTAATTAACTTACAGCGTTTGTTTTCACTAAAAGTGCCATGTATTGCCATAATAATGATAGAGCATCTTTGTCAATAGCTGTACTTGTTTTCAGCACGCTTTGAGCTTGTTTTTCACAATAGCGTAAAACATTTTGCTTGCCCGTTGAACTACAGTAGTAAGAAACAATGGAATTTAACTAAATTAGAAAATATCAGATTAATAGCTCTAAATCTTACGCTGTCAACGGTCCAATGAAATCTACTAAAATTTGACGTTCTTCATCAAGTATCTGTGAATGATCATGGAAATTCTAAATAACAAAACACCAATCAGCAATTTTGCTCATAATTCTTTTGTAACACGTGCATACATTTGAATCTACAATTTCCACTGTTGCTGGTTGCCCAGTGTCACTAGGAGATTGTGGTAATACTTTAATTATTTGATCGAACGAAAACTTCACACGTAAGTGTGGTCGAATCAACAAGAGGGGTGTTCGTCGCGCAGTCTCCTCCACAACGCCAGCTAAATCCGACTTGATACTAAATCGATCACTGCTAGCATCATCTTCAGATCGTTGACTTTCCTCGCTATCATCGTCCTCGTCGTCATCCTCCTCAGATGATTCCTCCTTCTGTTCTACCGGTGCATGAGGTTTCGTGGTAGTTAATAACAATTTATTTTGATCTTGATCGTTAGGTGGTAAATTTGGTTGGACTTGTTGAGGCTGAACGGGTCGTCTTAATTGCTGTTGCGGTTGTTGATGTTGCGGTTGTTGATATTGCGGTTGTTGATATTGCGGTTGTTGCGACTTTGATCCAGTCCCATTAATCGTCGGATTGTAGCCCTGACTATAAGATATAGATAAAAAAGACTATGTTCATAATATACAGAAGTCTCCTGTCAGACTCCATGCAGATTTTCATCCCATACAAAAGGCTCTACTTTTATACAATGTGTATTTTATAAAAGAAATAAATCTGATTTACTAGTATGCATCGTTTAGCGAGTCAATTGAGCCCCATGTGTGTAATGATGAACTATGTTGTGATACTTTCGATTGAGAATAATTTGAATGATGACTATAACGATCGTCTTCTGCACCGATCATATTTCTATAACTGAAATATGGAAAAAATGACAAATACACATTCGCAAACATCCATGCGTCGACAAAATAAATACAAAAATGCATGCTTCTGAATGTGAAAAACATACTATTTCATCATTTCATCTGTATAACCATATCCATAAGGATGCGAAAAGGTGCCGTAAACTGATACCCAAAATGGATCAAACCATGGATTAAACATACCAGGAGGAATAAAACCTAGCAATCAACAAAACAAGCTACTTTCACCACTTTTTTCACAAGGCAGCTTAATTACCTGGAAATTGTTGAGGTTGAGATATGAGAGGTTGTGGTTGCGTTGGTGCTTGTGCAATGTCAGACGTTGAAGCGGATGATGGACCACCAGTACTGCCATCAATTATGGATCTTGACGACGAAAGCGAGTAATCATTTGAAATACTCTGACGTGACGGCGGCCTATTTGGATCCACACCAGAAAACATTGGGGGATAAACACCATATGGCATTCCATATCCCGGAGGCATAAATTGTGGTGGATAACCGGGATACATTTGAGGAGGCCATTGAGGAGCTTGCGTCAACCCAGATGGTATTTGCTGTTCTTGCTTTTGTTGTTGGGATACATCAGCTGTTCCATTAGGAAGAGAAGACAAAGTGTGAGACGAGATAGGTTTGTTCTTAGTTTGCTCGTTTATGTTATTCGTTGCCAAATGAGAAGAAAAGTTCATCAGTTTCACATGATTAGATGAGTGCTCCATCTAAACAGTAAATAAAAAATACGCTAAAATTCCGTGTTTTGTGCTGAAGGCTTTAAAGTTAGAGAATACAGGTAATACGATACTGAGTTCCGTGTTACTTCAGAAAATACAGTTTCGATGTCAACGTTGAGAATTAGTACCCAAAACATGCTAGTGTATATAACCAGTCTCTATAATCAAAATGTCTGTTCAATACCGTTCGTTGAAGCAAATCAAAAGCATGAAAATTACGGTTATAAACATCGCTAACGTCTGTTATATTGCTTTTTTGTATCATGTCAATTGACATGCTTTTACATTGACATCCATGCGTATCTTGCTTAGGATTGGACGTTCTTCCGCCATAACTTTGGTATATTTATTGGCTCACTTCTTTTCTGCTGCATATAGTTGACAAGCGTTCCTTATGAAAATATGTCGCTAACTGATAACAAGAAAAGCTACTATAACATTATCATCATGTATCTGTCAGAATTATTTTACTCTTAGCTTTTACACATCTAAATATGTAAATCGTAATCCAAGAGATAGCGATTTGTTTGTGAAGGGTAAAAATTATTAAAGTACAAAAGTTTCATTTTCATCTCGGCGGATTTTATATTTATTCTTACACTACCTAAAAATGAAGAATACCTATTTTTAGTCTAAAACATGAATGCTCGCTGCCGTTTTTTAATTTTGAATTAATTTTTAAAGCAACTGCTGACCTACGTTTTCACCATTCGAAAGAGGAAGCTTAAACGTATCTCTTTTCAAGCACGTTAGTTTTCAAAATCATTTTTTCCAAAAGGGTTTACTAGGAGATCTCTGAAAAACCAGTTCACAGCCTAAAAAGTTGGTATACAAATATATTAATTTTGGGTAGACGCTCCGAAGTATCCTCCTCAAAATGAAAATTCATAGGTCTCCTCATTTTCTTGTAGCCTGAAAATCGATTTGCGATGACCTCTGGTATCTTCAGAAATGGATAGGATCGACCATGCTAGGTCGATCGTGACAATGTTTGTTTTTCCAGGAGCTTCAAATGCTTACTGAATTACTATTTTCGCAAAAAATTATACACTCATAACTCAGTCATAATCAATCTTCAGAATATAAACATACAGTATACTCTATTTTAGACGCAGTGTATCTTAGAATTCATCGGACCTGTGAATTAGTATTTGAGTTTTGAAAAGACTTTCTAGAAATCTTAGGAATTAAGCAAACATCTTTTAAAAACTTTAGACATAGAATCAGATTGCGCAGATAAAATAGAGTATATGTTTATTCTTAAGTGGTTTGTGCTTAAAAAGAGATACATGTAAGTTTCCTCTGGTAAATGATGAAAACCGTAGGTCGGCAGCTGCTTCAAATAAAAAATTATTCAAAAAATGGTGGAGACCATTTGTCTTTTGAAGAGACAATTATTTGTTGTATTATTTATTTAAACGTTTACATAAACTAAAATATTTCACTTTGACAAAAGTTATTATCTTCTTTTGTATTATTATTGTTGTTCGGAATGTTAGTCAAAATTTTTTCTAAACGTTTAATTAATGTTTGTGAATTTTTTGAAAATAATTCATTTGTACTTAGATCAATGCATGAATGAGTTTGTTTTTTAAGAAAATTTAAAGTGGTCATCGGTATTGTATTTGATGTTAATTTTGTTATTTGTTCATCAATATTCCAAATAATTTTTTTAGTTGTATTATGATGATTTATATATCGTAATATACAAATAATGATTGGCTTATTATATAATTCTGCTAGACGTAATTCATTTAAACAATTTTCATTTTTAAAATAATTTGTAGTTAAACATAGAAGTACGATTCGACAACGTTGGATATCAGCCGGTGTGACAGTACGTTTAAGATTTCGATGAGTTGAATTTTGATGTGGTTGATGATAATCTGTATTATTTGAAGATGATTTTGATTGTATTTTAGGCAAATAATCACTAGTATTTTCCCTGATATCATTTTTCGTATCGTAAACATGTACGCCCGTTTTGAAATGATTTAATTCAAGTACAATTGTTAAGCGTTCTATTGAATGAAGAATGTTCCATTTTTCATTTGAATAACTCAAATAAATGAAACGTCCATAATCGTTATTTGCTGAAAAAGTCAAAGTAGAAACAGTAATCAGTTTTAGAGAATAAATATGTTCTACCCTATTTTTGTTACCTTCAATCGTGGGTTTTTTCTTAATCTTCATCACCATACTGATTAGTGGTTGAACAGACTGTTTTAAATTAGTTACATAATGCGTATCCATCATTAAATTTGCCATATTTGTCACCATTTGAGGATGTAGATAAGTGTGTAATATCACAAGACTTTCGCGTAAAGATTGATGCGCAAAATCAACAGCAGGATAATCCGCTACAAACAAAAAAATTTGAAATGAATATGATAAATAAAATTGACGAGATATTTTTTCATACCTAAAAGAGCTCTAATTGATGATCTCATATTATACCAGATATTTTCAATATACAGTGTGACTATAGGTTTTTCGAACCATTCTGCCAGTGTTAATTCATGAAATGTAAAAGTTGAACGTGACGATTTTTTTGTTAGTAAATAGATAACATCTTTTGTTTGAGCCATTGATGGTCCATTTAAAGCAAGAAATTCTTGTTTTGTACGTCCATAATGTGTCTGATGAGTAAATACCTAAATTATAAATATCTAGCTGAAGTAATTGACTTTTAAAATAAATAAAATACCTTGAACTTTTTGCTTCTTAAAAACATCATTATTTGAAGTGCAAGAGGATAATCTTCTGGATCATATATTAAATAAATCCAATCTGTTTTTGGTTTATTTTGTTTCGCCAAATGATGCCATTGATTTGATGTTTGCCGTTCACGATGAATTGTACCTATTTGAAGATAAAGTATTGATAAATTATTAACTGTATCCAATTCTATCAATATTACTTACGTATGACTGTATCAATAAGTTGACGACGTATTGTTCGATTATCAATTTGAAAACGTTGTTTCAATTCAATTTCTGTACAGGACAATAGTAAAAATCCATCAATATTTTGTTCTTGAAATAGATCACGACTCGCTTCAGTTACTCCAACATCCACAAGAAATTTTTGTATATCATATTTATTCCATTCACAAATTTTCTTTAAATGATACTCTTTATCAACATCATCAACCGGTTTAATTATTAATTGTTGATCTTTCAATTGTTTATATGGTTGTAATTTGGTAGTTAAATGACCAAGAACGATTGAAACTCGTTCTTCAATACTGAGTAATAATTCTGTACTTGAAAATTGATAACAAAAATCGGCTCGAGATGCAAAATGCTGAAAATCTTTTGATTCATCATAGAAGATAACGTACAATTGATAAGAACTTGTTCCATCAGATGATGCTAATTTTCGATCTAATATTGCTTTTACTTCTATATTCATTAATCGTTGATGACAGTATGCATCGGAGATAATTACCAAACTGGCAACCGATAGATCAATGGCTTCTAATCGATCAGCAAACCAACTAGCAGACTAGAAAAAGAAGAAGAAGAAGAAGAAGAACAGAATTTTTTAGCAAAATTAAAAACAAAATTTTGTATACTCACTTTATCCTGATGAACACCTTCATTATGATCAAACCATATGACATTATTTAAACCATTTTCAATTAACTGTTGATATAAACGAATAACAAAATAGCGTTCATTGAATCCCGTCTGATTTGAATAAGATAAGAATATTGGTTTTGATTTAATATTTCGATTTGAGTCATTGGAAATATCATCAGACGATCTGTGAATGGGATATTCGGGAGAAAATGGACGTGTTTCATTTAGAGGTCGTGATGGTGGTGGACTTCGAGGAATATCGTCTAATTTAATCGATAAAAAATTTTGAACTGAAGAATTTTTAGTCGCTATCATTTTTATTGTGTTTATGCAATATTTAAAATGTAACAAAAATTGTAATATAAAAAACTATGCCTCTTTTCTTACTATTCACAAAAAAAGAAAACATCTTGATTTTTTATTAAATTTAATTTCATTCCACTCTTTCACTATCGATCCCTTATGCTCTTTACAATCAAGTAGTAATGCCTCGAAGCGTTAAGTTTTCTTTTAAAAAAACAAACACACACATTATCGTTTGTTGTTTTTTTTCTTTATATCGTATAGTATGACGCAGTACAAGCCTAAATTTTCTATAGGCAATAACCACTGTTAATAAATTTAATTACATGACGCTATTTATCAGAAGAAGATTTGATGACTATTGACACATTCAGCATCAGACCGATAAACGCTACAAAAAAAAACTTTTTGTCCAAGGTCATTGTTCTATTATTTAATGTACAATGGCAGTTTTTGTTCAACTTATTGAAAAAAGTAGTCAAAAAAATAAATGGAAGATTTGATGAAAAATTATTTTTTGAATCTAGAAATCACAATGATTTTCTTTTTAAACGCTATAATAAATCATTAGTCAAACTGTAATTTCATCTTGAAATAGTATTTGAAATATCTTGTTCAATATCAACAGACATCGTTCACTGAAATTTAATAGAACAATAGAAAACTATTAAATCTTTTTTTTTTTCTTTAATTAAGTGTACGTATCATTTTCTTTTCTTTCTTTTCTTTTTTGCTACTGGGGACATATAAAATGTTCTTTAAGTATCAATATATGTTGTCAAAATATAACTATCATTTATCATCATAACTAATAGACGACAAAATGCATTGTTTTTCCATTGCTGTTAAAGGTCGAAAACGTATGCGTTCAATCATTCACTCCTCGATGATTTCTAATAATAGTAAGAAATTGATTACAGAAATATTCCATTTGTTGTCGTGTGTGTATGTGAGTATGTACGCGTTGACAATCATTATCAAAATTGTGGATGTATGAAGTTCATTTTTCTTTGAGATTTTCTCACTCACATTCTCTTTGCTTCCTCATTCTTTTGGTGATTAGTAGTCATTTTCTTTTCTCTATCACTCGCTTCTCCTTGTATAGTCACGTTAAATATAGGCTCTATATAGATTGATTTTGACAAATTAAAATCAACTCGACTTTGACAGGCACAAAGTCATCCATCGCGATTAGTAATTATTGCCGGAAGGAATTGTGAGTCAAGGACATAATACTTAAATGTCAAAGAATTAAGATTAAAAAATAAGAAAAAAAACTAAAAAAACTAAATTCTTCATTCCACATTGAATTGAAATCAAGTTTATAAAAGAAACAAAAAAAAAAAAAAAAGAGTTAAAAAATACAAAATTTAATTCTTGTTCAGGCAAATTTTAAGATTTAAGATGATTACGATTGATGTCAAGTGAATTGCTATTAACTGGCTCCAATCTACCAAATATTCAACAAGTTTACTTAAAGAATTTTCGATGACCATTTTTCTTCACAACAATATATGATGTGTCGACATAATATGGCAATAAAAATACTTGATTACTATACAGCTGTTTCCAAATAATTGAAGGAATTTTTGACACATAAATCTTAAGATATGTTATCAATTAATAGATGGACATGAAGAGTCTACTCTTCTTATATCAATGTAAATATTTGATAATATGACACATCACGATCACTTATGTAAAGTATGTAACTTGTCCTGAGATATTCTCAGAAGTTATATACGTTTACGGGTAGCATTCAAACAATCATTCTATCTTGTTTAAGTATTTGTATTCTAATTATTATACAGTCAAAATGAATTGATATTTTTCATTGAGACAGAATACCCGAAAAATTTTTCCTTAAAAGTTAAAAGGTCTTTGTCAAAGGTACCGCACATTTGACTACTGATTAACGAGAAGCACTTCGTATTTTTGAATGAATGTGTGAATTATAACACTTGAATTTCGATCTTTCATTGTGTCATTTATTTTTATCTTCACAGAATGATTGAATATGCCAATAAATAGAGATCATAAAAGTAAAAATAAATTATAAGTAGAGAGAGAGAGAGTGATGGCTATAAAAAAATTGTTATGGTCACTTGTGTATAGTTGATGGTAGCAATAGTTAGTACAATCATAATTCAAGTTAAATACTTGAAAAGATGTCCTTGAATATTTATAGCCACATTATCTTTCTTGTTGATTGATTCATCATTGAATACTTGAATATACAATTATTGTTGTTGCCGATTTTAGAGATCATTTAACTGCTACCACTCTAATCATAATTTAGAAGAGAAAGATGAATAAAACTAGTCATTTGTTTGATTAAGAAGCCAGATGGAAGAAAGATAGATAATTGAACAGTTCGATCTAGTTATTCAGTTATTTTTGAAACAGATGGCACTCAATCGAGTAAGGTTGATACTCAAATCTAACCATGTTGAACATGAATTTTTTTAATAATAACTACAGTCGTACTCAGTTTTTAGAAAATTGTGAAAAATGATTACCATTTTACTCGAAGTTATATGAATTTAACACAGATCAATGTCAAAAAACCTTTGATTATTGAAAACTTCAAAAATTAAATTAAATTTTTATCGTGAAATAATTTATTCATTGTTTCTACAAGGAACAACATATAAAATAGTTATATGTACAGAAACAGTTAGTTGCTTAGAAATATTTTAACAAGTGTTTATGCAAACGAAAAAAGTAATTTTAGAGAAAAAATTATTGAAAAAAATGAGAGTACGGAAAAACTCATACAAAACAACAAAATACGATAAAAGAAAAAAAGAATTAAGATCATCTTTTAAAGCTTTTTTAAAATGCATTTTCATCTGGTACGATACACATACACACATAAACATAAACACGAATACGCACACACAGTAGTGGAGAAATAAAAAAATTAAATATTAAAAAAAAAAATCAGTCAATTGGTGGATCTAAACCTGACTGTAGAGTTACATGTACATTCTTATTTAAACTAATAGCTGGATAAAATATTCCATGTAAATTTGTAAATGCAACTGGACCCTGCGGTTCATCATTTACGTAAAAACTTAATGTTCCATTGTTTAAATCAAGTAATAATCCAATTACACTACCAACCCCAATACCACCAACTTGACGATTTGTATGCTGTCCATTATGCATGAACCATGATCGTTCACTATCAATGTACATACACCAAGATTTTGAATCTTTGCCTGAAAAATAAGTAAATCACAAATGCATGATTAATGATAATATTTATTTATTTTAAACAACCTACCTAACATATAATCTTTTGATACATCAAAACGAGCTACACCAAATGCAGGATCAGGTTTATCATCGTAACGATTGATAGTCAACTCCCAATAATGTACACCTTTACGAAAACCAACATTGCCCAATACGACACGATCTTCATAACTTTGACATGTCACGGCATCAGAATTAACACTCAAAAATGTAATATCAGGATGAGCAATTCGTGGATTGAATGTAAACCAATAAACTGAAACGTAGAAAAAAATGAAATATTCTAGTATAAATAAAATCCTATTATGAGGGATAGGTTACAGTAAAGTAGATGCATTGATAAAAAGTTCTATAATTAGTATCTGAAACCCTTATCATTTAAGTACCGTCTGATACAGAAGAAAATTAACAGTTTCTAAGGGTTTATACTACAATGCATATATGAATTGGAATTTCTCGTAAAAAACCAAAAAAAATAAATGTTAATACCGGAAGCTGAATGCAATGTTATACATTCACTATATTGACTTTCTCCAGCTTGATTATAAGCCTTCACTCGTGCGTTATAGACACAATTAAGTGCGAGTCCATCAACTGCACACATTGTTTCAGGTCCACAATAGACTTCCTGTTGGAAAAAAAAGAAAAGAAAATGAATGAATGAATGAGTAAAAATCACCTAAACATAGATGAAAAAAAAAAAGCTTCTCGTTGTCGTTCTTTATTTGTGTATGCTTCTTTGCCGTTTTATTTGTATTAAAACGGTGTTTTTTTAACTGTTCGTATTTTCCTTTTCTTTTTATATTTAAAATGAATAAATACATTTACTTACACGGAAGTTACTTGATAATGTTCCATCATCTAATTCAAGTATAAAACTTTGAATTGTTGAACGATCTCTGGTATACCATGCAAGTGTGCCAGAGCCAGAGTCATCACACGTACATTGTTCAATATTGAAACGAGGTGATAATGGAGCTGAAACGAAAAAAAAGAGACATTATTCATTAACAATATCTATAAGAACATGGTTGAATGTGTCTATAGTTGAATAAATATGCAGAGAAAGACAATTATTATTATTTATTTATTCGATTATTTGAATGATGTTTCTTTCTTTTTTTCTGGTGATAATCAAATACTAATACCAAGGACATTTAATTGTTAGAAAATTCAATATTATCATTTTATATTTAACAGCATACAATTGTAGAACAAATAATTGAATTTAGTATTACATTTAATGTCTCTTTTTTTTTTCTTATTAGAAAGCAGTTCGATAAGGACAACAAACCGTACTAGATACACATAATCTATTTTCTAGAAGCTGATTTATTGTCGCCCAATTTTAAATTTTGAAATGATTTCAACCATTCAACCGGCATCAACTCTCTTGATGATGCTATTTCATATAATACATGCTATAAATAGTCAGCTATATCTCTCAATTCTAGTTAGTATAATTGTCATGTTTTCTGAAAGAACTATATATAAGAGAAATGAATAGCATAGACTTAAAAAATTTGCGTTAATGTTTTTCAGATGTCAGATGTCATGGTCATAACATAAAAATCCTTGGATGATTGTAACAAAACATAATATAAACCATGTGCAATTTATTCATCAACGGTTGATTACCATTAATGATGATGTAAAAATTCTAATGATTTTTATTAAATCAGCATGTGTAAAAAAATTTTTTTTTGTAGCATTTCACTTATAATCAGCATTGATGATCTAAAGTTATTGTTCTTCTTCTGCTAATAATAAGAAACTATGTCCAAATATGTTAAATATCGTCTGCAGAAAGACGGTAATAAAAGAAAAAGAAAAATTAACAATCGTCCGTTTAATGATGTAACTGTGTTAATAAAAACATCAAGTATATCGATAATAATAATAATATGAAATACTAACAGATGTATACAGTTGATTTCGAACATCTCATATATTCCCACTACTAAGATCGACGATTATTAATACGTCAATTTTCTGAATGGTTGATTGAAAATAACAAAAAACCTTATGTCTAGAACATTTCTCTTATTTTTAGAAAAAAAAAATTGAGAATAAAATTCAATTATATAATTTTCCGCCAAGAAAGCGGAGTGAAATAAATATGTGTAGCGATAAATTTATTTATGATACAACAGGTTGAACTATTTATTTATCTGTAGTTTTTTTTTTTAAAAAACTCGTATATTCAAGTTTAAGTCTACAAATTTCATCACCACTTGACGAGATCGAAGTTGAAGGTTATTGTATAAAATTTTATAAAATAGATAAACTGTATAAATATGACACCATTCACACTGTTTGTACAACTAAAGCACTGTAGATTAAAACAAAAATGAAGAAGAAAAATTTATACAAGTCTCGTCTACACATACATATATAAAAGCACATCTCTATCTCTCATTATTATTATTGAACATTTTATTCTCTCATTCATAATATGATCAAACGAAAAGATGTAGCTTATTATATTATTTTATGAAAAAATTTGTTTTTATTAGTTGTACACAATCAACTTGTTAGACGATGAGAGACGGTGGTTTATTTATAATATAAAGAATGTGAACATACTAAGGTATGTAGTCGGAAAATATTTATTCATGTCTATGTGTTCAGTTAGTTAAGAAAAAGTATATATATATATATATTTCTACATCTGGTTATCGAAATAAAAAGAAAGAATAAGCCAATTGTCTCTCTAATTTACATTATTTATTTGTGTCCGAACTAAACGGTAGGAGATATGTACACAAAGATCTGTATATATTCTAACTGAACATTTTATAGTATAATTAACTATAAATTGTAAAAGTTGTGATTTTTAAAAAAAAATATTATTCATAATTTGGTTATTACGTGTTCAGTGGACAAAATAATGTGGACTCATTTGTTCACTTTATTAGAAAATATAGTAAATAATAATTATTTAAACAAATGTGTATTTTAGCAATATATTTTTCAATTTATTTTCGATCAAAATTATGTTAGCAGACGTTCTGTTCTGTTCTTTGTTTATCCATGTATTATTTAAATCATATATACGTACATATATATATATATATTCAATTACATGATTATTAAATCAACATTACGATTTTTTTTTTGCGTCTTCTTCTTCTTATTCGAATAACAGATAGATATACAAAACAGATGATGAAGTTCAATAATAGTAATAATATGTACAGACACAATTGTATAATAAATAGATTTTATTTCTGTGTTACAAAATATTATGAAACACTTTGTTTGTTTCTTATTTTAAAAAAACAAAGAACTCAAAAATATACTCGATTGTTGTCTACTGCTATATATAACTTAACAATTATTATTTTAAATATCCTTGATACTCTATTGGACAGATATCTACTAATGAGACCTTGCCTTATCTAAAAAAGAAAAGGCTAACTATCTCACTTAGCTTATTATACAATAGTTATCATTCATTGATTGTTAAACATGTAGGGAGACACCCTACTAATACACATAGACAAATAATAATAACTAATAATGAATGTCTCTTTTTACATTTGTTAATCTGTCATCTAATCTAGCATGCTGTTCTAATATCAATTCAATAAATTTTTTCTCATGTTTTTTTCCTACTTTTTTTTTATCACAAATGTATTCTAGTCATTTTTTTTTAAATTACCTTTCATTTGTTGAAATTGTAAACGATGAATTTCTCGTAATAAATTCTCAGTATTGAATATTAAATCGAATTCATGTGATGTATGAGGTTTTGGTTCAAATTCTTCCGAAAAACTTCCATAGAGTTCATTACATTTTGTATTAAATCCATGACATACCTATTTAGTAATAATAAAATCTTATTAGAACAGTTTATCTGTAATGTTGTAGATGTATGTAGCGTATAAATCTACAAAACCTCATCATTTTTCAAAATTTTCAATACCTTTCTTACATCAAAATAGTTGAGAAAGAGTTTCATTAAAAAATATCATTTTCTCTAAAAGCAAACCTGTAAATATGCCGTTGGATCTGATTCTTTTAATGCTTCAACGCAAAATTGTAAAAATCCGGTTGTTCGTTGAATATGAAATGTATTTTCAGTACATTGTTGTTTAATGATAGAAATTTTTCGTTCTTTTTCATTTTCAATCACATCAACTAATTCACGTTTTTTTGTTTCTAATGTTTGTATAAGAATATCAATTTCTTTAATAATTGATGATTGAAAACTGCAACAATTTTTCTAAAGAAGAAAAAACCAAAAAAAAAAAACCAATAAAATAAATATCTTTAGTATAAGAGATAATTGTAACAGAATGAGTAATCACGCAATACATTCTTATTTATTAGTTATCTTTTCAATGATTTCTCATTTTGGGAGTAGTAGCGAATCTTTAAGAAGAATCAAAATAGAAGAAGATAGATTCAAAATAGTATCATAGATAATCATCAAAGTGCCTGACAATAGTTATAAGATTTAATGTTTATTAAAGTCTATATGGATTATATTTTGAGTCAACATTTAATGTAATCAAGTCTATTGAGAATTGAATAATGTTTGATGATGGACTCATTCTAATGTTATTATATAAACTTTGGTCATCTTTGATATAGTATATTTTCCTTTTTCGTTCATTTAACATACATAAGAAAAATATAATAATTTAAAGAACAAGGCCATTTTATGTTAGAATTAATGAACCATAAATAAAATGAAAACTCATTTATCAAGAATTGTTTTTTAGGAAAAAAAAATGACGAGCTGTATAAATTTTTTTTTCTTCTTCCTCGCATGATACGTTTAAATAAAATAAATTTAAAAATTAGAAAAATATATTCTTCCCACACTTTATACATTTCCGTTTTGTCGTCTTTTATACGGATCAGAATCTTTCAGATTTAAACGTTTCAAGAAACAACAGTGGAGAAAGAAATTCTAACAATTTGAAGAAAAATGTATGTCTCTACTAATGAGAATTTTTAGTTTTTAATTAAAATCAACTATGATCCACATATTATATTTAAGTCATTAAACTATTATCCATTAATTGTTAATATAAGTAATGGTCTAAAAAAAATGTGATAGTAACTCATTATCAATTTAATACGCTTGACTTTACATTTATAAATATAAATGTGTGTGTATGTGTATATCCCTCATCAAACATTTGAGAGAACATGACAATTAAAAACACTATAAATAAATATAAACATGTTCATTTTGATGAGAAAATTGAAAAATATTTTTTATATTTTATTGAATGATGATAACTATGGTATGCAATTAACAATTGTTTATTTTATTACGAAATTGACCACACTCCATGATACATGCAGGTGAAAACAAACATTTAGAGATTGTTTCATGACCTTTTATTCACACATATAAAATCGACTGACCATGTGGCTATATAGTGTAATTATCATTATGATCATCTATCATCGATAGTTCCTTGGTGTGTCACTTGTCTTAGAGTCTGAACAATAAAAGAGTTAGTCGGTCGCCAAGACAATGTACATATGCATAAAATTAACTTATCTTATTTTTTATCGATCATACTAGCGTATACATATGTGTAGACTCTGATTTTTAGGAAATAATTATCTTATTCACTATAATACTGATGATGATATATATGAAGAAAAAATACGTGTACTAAACATAGACTCAAATCATCTAGACAAATAATAATGATGATGAACTTCAAGGATAAATTTTGTGTTTAGATTACTAGTTTAAATGAATATGATTATGTTTCTATATGACCTTAGGCATCGAACGTCATTCATTACACATTTATACTTAGATGATATGTGTAACTCTCTCACAGAATAATATTATAATTTGATTTGATGAACCGTCCAAAAAAATATCAGAGTAGAGATCTTGTTCAATAAAAATATCAATATAAACCATTTACCTTGATATGATCGGGATATGTTTTTAATTTTGTCAAAAAATCTGTTCCTTGTTTAGCCTTCTCGGATAGATTTTGTAATTGTGTTGATAATTGCGTCTAAATACAAAGAAAAAAAAAAAACGACAAAAATAAATGTATTTTGGTACCAAGATACATTATTAAAGACGGAAACATTTTATATACTGGAATATGTCTACCATAATTTTTTTAGAGATCAAATTCTAACCGGCGGTCGTGTAATATTAGTTAAGAATGTATTAGTTCTCTGTTTTCTCGTACACTCGTTCATGAATCGATGTATGTACACTAACAATGATTTTGTGCAGATGTTCAATTTGCCTATTAGTCTTCCTCTATTACTGATTTTGACGGTCATGCTACTTCTCTTCTTTCTCTCTTTTTTTTAAACTTCTAATGTAACAATATGTCCTATTTACAAGATTATAATCTTTAGAAAAGTATTGTGAATTATAGAGAAAAATCACAATACCCTATATTTAACGAAAATTTATATTTAAATTATATCTAAGTAGAACAACATCTTGGTAAAATCTTAATTTAAATACAACTACCTTCGAAAATAGTTCAAGCATAGACAAAAGAAACATATTTTCTGGCTATTTTTGACTTCTTCCTCTCATTAATAACAACAACAACAACAAAAAAAAGAAGAAAAAAAATCATAAGATTTTTTTAAAGATATGAATACCATACAATTAAATATACGCTTGGATTCATAGTTTTGAAAATGAAAAATGACTTATCGAAGCGGATAACCTCCAAACATCAATCAACAAAACATTAGACTAGTTATTACTGCTTGAAGTCGATAGAAAGGTAATATGGGAGAAGAAATAAAAAGACGTTTCCGATCCAATGTTTCAGCTTGTAAAAAACATGTAAAAAATCACAAACAGTCACATATACATGCATACGAGTACTTCAACGGGATATTTTAAACATAACTATAAATCTCGAGAACAAGAGAAAGAGAGAGAGAGAGAAAGTATCAAAGTGATTTACGTGTTTCCGTTGTGTTCAATTAACATCTTATGTTACATCATCCATTTTCAATTTGCATAATAATAGTATCGGTTTGAAGAGCATAGGGAACATACATTGTCTTGAGCGAAAGTTTTTTTTAGAGTATGAAAAGAAGAACTAACCACCGGAACTAAAAAAAGGTTTTTTTATTTTTTGGTTTAATAAAAGAAGAAAAAAAATAATGTATTCTTCTTTCTTTTTTTTTTTATCAGTTTATCTCTGGATTAACACATGTAAAGTAGGGTTTTATATATCGTGTAACCGGACATTGTTCATCGTCATGAGAATGAAACAATAATGATAAAAACTGTTAAGTAACAACTCTTTGTTCCGATTCAACTACTATGACTATATCTAAAGATTTTTCATGCTTCGGAAATCTTTTTTTCGAACTATCATCAACGACTCGTAACATGAACGTGTAGAAATTTATAGAAGTGTTAGGAGAATAGTTTCACGACAATTTAAAATTCTTTCCGTAGTTAAATTCGAACGAATCTAAGATTGGTTAAGATAATTCATGTATTTCTTTCTACCGTAGATATGTTGAAGTAGCCTGGAGGGTAAGTCTCTTTGATTTAAAACATGAAAATGATTGACCATCACTTCTTTTCTCTCTTTTTTCTCTCGTCGTTTTATTGAACTATAACCCAATTATATCTAATGATATATCTTATAATGTCTGTCTGTCGCAAGAATTCATCTTTCTCTATCACTTTTTGGGACAATTTTTCTATTTATATACATTGTTGCTGTCTCAAGTTTTTCCTGTACTTTTGTCTTTATGTCTATGTACAAATTTCAATTTACACTTTTACATCTATACAAATTGAAACAGGAAAAGTCGACCGTCTATGTCATGAGAACTTGAAAAAAGCCGAATAAGAATTAGTAAAATTATTTTCTTTTTTTTTTTAAATCGGTGAGTATAGACTGTCTTACTTTACCTGATTATTTTTTTTTTTTAATTCCTTTCCAAGAGCGGTCATTGACACATTTTTTTTTCTCATAAATAAAAAAACAAATTACGTTCTCTCTTTTCTTTTCTCTTTTGTTCATTAATAAAAAATGAGTCGCATTAAACTGAAACTGAGGACAATGGTCACTTCTGGTTTTTAGATAGAAAAAAAGAAAAACTAGGATTAATAAAAGAAGTGAACAGAATAATAAAGAATAACATGCGTGTAGAGAATTCAAGCACACAATTCTTTGTTTGAATACGCGCATTAATTAATAATATATCGTCTTTGAAACAGAGTGCAACTTCTACAACTCGGGAAAGGAAGAAACAATTGTAAATGAGAGAAAGATGGAAACACATTGCAAGAAGAAGGGAAAACACAAATATGACAATGGAAAAGCTTCAACTTAGATCAGTGACATTAATAGCTACTGATTTTTGCTGTTAATTTAGTTCGAGCATGTTTAGAAGTTCAAGTTTCACAGAGAAATATTTCAAACATCGATACAAGTTCACTCTTTGTGAGCATAGATTTAAATTTCCACCACTAAACTGCTATATTTAAATTGTAATCAAAAGACTAGCTATTATTGATGCCATATTTCTCTTCAAAATGATATATTTGATTTTAAACACAAACACACATTGGATTGACACAATTTTGTCATATTCTACACCTAGTTGTTTACATAAAACAGAATTGATTCAATAATAACATATTCGATCTCACACACATATAAAAAATCGCGTCTCTCTCTAATAAAATTACCGCAATCAAAAGTAAATTTTTCATAGAAGAAAAACAATGACATTCTTTAACAAAAAACTGCTTTGAACTCGACATGGTTTAGTTAAGATTAAATTAGTTAAAGATAATTTAATTAAAATTATAGCAGCACATTTTCATATGTACACGTGTTTGCGTTCAACTCTCTCTAACGAATCTTCAAAAATACAAACACAAATATATATATCATTTTTTTAATGTCACTATGGCTAACGATGAGAGAACTTGATCGATTTTCTAATTTTGACTGTGAATAAGAAAATTTTTTATTTTATTTTGTCAAATTACTCTCTATACTCTCGAACAAACGGGACACATATGAGATATATTCATGGTCATCTAATTTGAAAAAGAAAAGATGAAAAAATTGCTTTTTACAATACAATACGATAGGACGATGATGACAACAGATGTACATAAGTAGCCTATCCACTATAATAGACCAACATGTTCAAATATTCTTTTTTTTTTTTGAAAAGAAAGACCTCTGAAACATTTCCGTTCTTTTTTTACTGACATTGAAAACTCTTGGGAACGGAAAATATCTATCTATTTTTGTGTGTATTGTGTGTCCAAAGTGCAAGACTATTTAAAAAATTAATAGGACTTTGTACATGACACACACAATGACCATTTATCAAAAAAAAAAAATCAATTAAGAAAACCTTCAAATGACAAAGACAAGCTCTAGCATAAAAACTTGTGTTACAATGAACTAAGATTTAGAAAATAAATGTAAACTTACAGGATATACGTTTTTTTCTAAAATCTAACTCATTTTTTAATAGGGAAATCAAAAAAATGAACCTATGTTTCTCATCTGAAATCAAATTAAAATTGTTACGTTTTTACGTTTAGTCACGCAAAAATATGTACAACAATACATTATAGAATATCTTTTTAAATAAATAAAAATCTTAAAGAAGCTTTTTCTGTATTTTGACCGGATGTTATCCGAATGATGATAAGCTTTTATTGTCTCTTCTCTAATAGACATCACGATATGTATAGTAAAAAAAAAGAAGAAGTTAATTAATTGACAAACAGCACAATATAGTAGACTCATTTACTGATTAAAAAGAAGAAGATAGTAAGACCAGCGGACATTTATTCATTTAAAACATACCTTATATGCTTTGGTTGCTTGTAAAATTGGAATTGTTTCGTGTTGAACATGATTTTCTTGCATACATTGTTGACAACATTCAATATGACAATAAATACAATAGAGATTCAATAGACGATTTTGATGATCGGGACATATTTTATTATCAATAGAAGAAGATATTATTTTTGTCGGTGATGAAAGGTGTGATAAATAATCAGTTTGTTTTATAAAATTATGTTTTGCATATGGTCCACGTATAGGATGATATTGTTCACGACATTTTTCACAATAATAAACTAAACATTGTTCACATAATTGTATTATATTATCTTGAATATTGAAATTATTATTTTTATCTGATTGTTGTGGTTGTTGTTCTTCACACAATTGACATTTTGGTAATAATTCTTTTGCACTTATTTTTTTTGTTTCAATATAACGAATTAAAATATCTTTTAATAAATGATTTTCTGGCAAACTTTTAACACCTGTTTGATCCATATAAATATATTTAGAACATATAGGACATTGAAGATAAGTTGAATAGGATGATGTTGTTGTTGTCTTTGTTATACTTAATAGTGGATTTTTTGTTGAAGAAGTAAATGACATACCATTTAATATGGATATTTCAGGTAATGCTGGTGGTACAATTGGTGAAACAATCAAACTATTTGGACGTGTAATAGATGATGAACAGGATGAAGATGATGAGGCAGAAGAAACAGCAACACCCGAATCATTATCACTTATTAATGATAATTTATCTAAGTCAGATGCAAATGATAGTGAACCAAGATCAGATCCAGTTATACTATTACGAACAACAATGTTTTTATTATGTTTCGATTTACTATTTACATTTTGTGAAATATCAACTGAAATGTTCTGTTGTATAGAATGTGCACATGTAGCACATAATGAATGATGACACGGTAAATATAATGGTAAACGATAATAATCTTTACATAATGGACATCGAAGTTCTATATCCATGTATTACAAGGGGTCTAAATAATAATAATAATAATAATAAAAAGAAGTAAATAGAGAAGTTCAAAAATTAATTTTTTTTTACGCCTGAGAAGAGAGTAAATGCAGCTTATAATTCTTACATTATTTCTTTTTTACTTTTAATTATCCATTATTTGAATCTTATTTTTTTTTTCTTCTAAGATTGTATATTTTTCTTCGCTACGATAATAAACTCTCAGCGTGAAGTACTCTACGATATAAATTTTGTTTAATTTTTCTTCTCAAATGAGACCAAAGGTATTTGACGTTTGTTCAACTTACCGAGTGTGTTCTCTTATGTCGCAGAGATTCTTCTGTATTAACTATGTATTCATTTTTTTTTTTTGCTACAATATCCCTGTATGTTTAAAAAACTGAAAAGAAATGATAATTTTCTCTTCTTCTTCCTTCTGCATAGACAGACAGTTAAACATCCTTTTTTTTTCTCTTGATTTTCTCTCGTTTTTCTCTCCTTCGCTGTATAATAAGTGAAAGAATAGAAAAAGTACGTTCACAGAAAGGTTTTTTTGACAAGTTCACATGTACGATGCTGAACGATACTCTCTGTGAGAGAGAAAAAGACAAAAAAAAAAAGAGAAGAGAATAATAATAACAAATAGATACTGTCATAACGAGGAAACGATCGAAATGAGGATAATATGAATTAGTAAGAAAATCATTGAGTAGAGAAAATATATGTACAAAAGATCTTGAAAAAAAAGAATGAGAAACATGAGGCTAATGGTGATTAAAGACGATGATGAGAAGGAACTGAATTTGACAGAAATTTTGGTAATAGAATTGCACAGATGATTCAAGGAATCCGCCGTTCTTGATTATATAATTAAAACTTTTTTTGATAAATTGATAATGTCAGTAGTTAAATTATATTTAAAAAATTGCTGTTAGTAAATTTAAAAATATATGCAATATTATCTTAAAATTTTACTTCAGGTTTTGTTTATAAATTTTCGACATAATAATATTTTCCTCCTATATGTACAGTAATTCACAGACTATTGTATAAAAGTTAAAATAATAAATCTTAAACTTTTGATCTATGCCTTCAAGAATTTATCAACATTTTTCTGTTGAAATTATACAATTCAATATGACTGATGAACTGTATGAATTTTATTTTATTTCTTACATCAAAGCTAGAAAAAAGAAAAAAAATCTGTAAATCTAAATGAAAATATCCATAATATGATGTCGTGATCGTAATGGCAAACACAACTGTTACTTATTTTAAAGTATGAGCAACTATAGAGTTGGCTTTGACTCATTGAATACAATTATTCTAGTGCTATACATAATCGTTATCATTTTTTATTTAAAGAAAAATACAATAGCTAAAAATATTTTCGTTCGTATTTTCTCTATTTTTTAGGTTTATTTTGATGTGATTGTTGTATTTTATTTGGATCTTTCAATGATTGTGTTGTTGTACTCTGTGATCCGCCTGAATTTCGTTTTATCAAATCTTGACTGACAATTGGTGGTGGAGCTTGTTGTTGCGATGATAGTGGTGGTACTTGTTTATTTAACGGACGAAGTATTTGAAAACTGCACATTAAATTTTCATCGACACTCATTACACCACCAGCATTATCAAACTCACCTAAATATACATCATTCAAACAATCTTAAATTTTTTAAACAAGAAAGTTAATTTTCATAGTTTAGTTTTATATTGAGGATAATAAAAATAATCTAGAAAATTTTACCGCAATAATTTGGGGCACTAAAAATGGTAACTAATCGTCGTTTAGCAAAGAATTCATATCCATCTTCGACAACTTGATGTCCTCGACAAATAAGATCGAGATCATGTCTTGCTAAAAACTAAAAATAAAAACAATAAATACAAAAAACTTCTAGAAATTAAAATAGGCAAAATAAATAATACTTTAGCGACTACATCTGCACCGAATGTAAAAGAAACACCACGATCATTTTCTCCCCACCCATTTGTATCTTTATCTGGACTAAAGTTCAAAACGACATGTTAGTGAAGTAAAGTATGATCGAACATACAATGAGATAACATACTCTGACCACAAAAGATCGCATAATAATCCTGTATCTGGTACGTCTGTTGGTCGTGCTATTCTTCTAATTTGTTCAAATGATTGTAAATCCGGTGAAAGACCTCCGTGACAACAGAATATTTTGTCATCGATAATTGCTGCTATTGGTAAACAATTGAAACAATCTGTAAATGTTTTCCACAATTTCAGATTAAATCTAAAATAAGTATAAAATATTATAGTAAGCATAATGGGTGATGCAAAAGTTCTGCATTAATTTTGTTTTTGATACAGCGTTGCAATGGTACATCAGAGAGATTTTATCCTTTTTTTGTTAGAAAGAGCAAAATGACTAGTACAAAATATATAAAAGTATTTGATCGGAAATGTTTCCTGAAGGTCACAAAAATCTTAGAACAAAAGGCATCAGGAAACTCTTCCACAACTTTGGTCACAATTTTTGTATTCAAATATATTTGTTTGACCTTTTTCATTACCCATTTTCTATGTTTTGGAGCACCATATATATGAAGTTGTTCATTACAATGAAGGCTTTCGTATGATATTAAAAAGGTTGGCCTTGAGTAAGTACAAAAGACTGAACAGAAGGCACTTTGATTAAAAACTCAATTTGGTGTTTACAACGCGAAAACAACTTTTTGTCCCAATAGCTTACAGAGCGGCTGTGTTCTATTCCAAATAATTCCGTTTGGTAGAGGACTCAATAAGCTTTCTTTTTCATGCAAAGTATATAGTTTCCAGCAACTTCTCTCTAGGACTAGAATCTCTTTTTTCGACTGCGATCGACAGTGATGAAAAATCGGTGGTAAAATAGGATGTTATAAAAGCGTTCATTTCGCCGTTATAAAACACGAAGAAAATTTCATTTTTGTGCAGCAATCCTAACATTATAAAACTCGAAGTAAAACGAATAAAAAGATAAATTTTCTTATTGAGCGAAGTTTTTTCTAAATTTGAAAAGGTTTCGGAACAGTTTCTCGATGCCTCTTGTTCTAAGATTTTTGTGGCCTTCGGGAAACATTTCCGATCAAATACTTTTATATATTTTGTACTAGTCATTTTGCTCTTTCTAACAAAAAAAGGATAAAATCTCTCTGATGTACCATTGCAACGCTGTATCAAAAACAAAATTAATGCAGAACTTTTGCACCACCCGTTAATTCAACTAAAACAAGTAAAAAAATTATATATCTATGCATAGAAGTTTACCTTCTCTTCACTTCGTCGTAAAAACCATATATTCGATTGATTGATGCACATTCATGATTACCACGTAGTAAAAAAAAATTCTCAGAAAATTTTATTTTGTAACACATCAATAACAAAATTGTTTCTAATGACATCTTGCCGCGGTCAACATAATCGCCTATAAAATCACATATTGAAGAGCAAGTAACAATTATCGTACGCTTTTCTTCAAATTCTCATTCAATTAGCTTCAATTTCACCCGATTCTTCAAGAGTAACAGCATACTCATATCTCAACAACCACGCAATCGACAATAATTTTTGAAATAATATTTGCTTCTAAAGCACACTAAGTGCTAATAATCCAATATAATTTCATATCGAATACGTACGTGGCTCTTAAGATATCGAATTTGAATATTTTTTAGCTTTGATACACAAATAATTCCGATACAATAAAAACACTAAAATGACTGACTTTCAACTTTTAGTAATCTCAACGTTACACTACTTTTCAAATTTGGAATCACTTCAGAAAAAAAATGTCTAACTCTACTCAGAAACGTTAGTTTGGATTGATATTCAATGAGGAAACATTTTTGAATGTTGTATAGATATTTAATACAAATTTTCAATCTTTAAAACTGAACTAGTTTGATATTGAAATAAAAAATGAATATAAGGGGTAGAAAACCTCAATATAAAACAAGCTTCATTATTCAAATACTTGTTCAATATATAATATCAATCGTGTATGTTACCAGCATTGGCTTTTTAGGGAACAAAGAGCGACATTATTTACAAGACAAAATGATATACTAGCTGGAACATCAATATAAAAAGTTACGAATATTTTATGTTTTCTACACGTTTAGCATGCTACAATTGATAGTAGAATCAGTTTTAGATATCCGATAAAATATAGACTGTCATTTGACGTTCAGATATTTTCTTAAAATTGATAGATTATGTGATTAAACTACGAATAGTTTTATGTTTAATCTAAAAGTTTAGATTATCAATTGTACTAAAGTTAAAGAATTTACTTGCAAGTTACAGCTATAAATAATAAATATGCTATATCTTAAGAGCCATGTAAGAATTTGATGTGAAATCATATTGAATGATTAACATGTTCTATAATAAAACATTATTTCAAAAAATTATTGTCTATTGTGGTTGTTGAGATACGAGTATGATGTTGGTCTTGAAGAGTAGTGTATATCTCAAATTTTGTGATTCGTCTGATGCAGATAAACCTCAATCTTCAAATAAATTTTTATTTCTAAACTTATTCTATTGTTAGTTCATAGGGGCTAATAAATGAGTTATCCAAATAAATTTAGTCTTGCAATAAAAAACGATTTACTGGATGATGCAGATAAATTTAGTTTGAGCATTTTCTACTTCTTTTTGTTTTCAAATTTTTGGCCAATAAAATGATATGTGTCAGTTTTTCACACGAATTTACCATAGAGCCAGTATTCTAACACAATTTTGAGTGACTATGCACCACATGAGCAATATAACGCTACGCAGTTATTAGACTTTCTTGCGGATGTTTTTATACCTACCAAGAAATAAATAGTTTGAATCTGGTGGATACCCATTTGCATCAAAAAGACGTAATATATCGGTAAACCTATAATACAGATAGAAAATGGATATTTTGTTCTTGTTATTTCTTTCTTATTTTGTCCACACTCACTGTCCATGAATATCACCAACAATTTTCAACGGTGCTTCTAGTTCCAAAAGTACCGGCTGTAATAGAAATATTTCACGTGCCTTTATTGTTATTATTCTTATTTCTTGTTCATTCAAATCAGCCGGTTTTGAATATTTTCGTACATCCAATAATTTTTCTAATATAGTATCAACATAAACATCATCTGTAATCATTTCACCATACACTCAAAAACAATTTTGAAAAATGAACTTAATTTTATTCGTAATTAGAGATATATTTAATATTTTCATGTATTCCATCTTGAAAAATTTTAAAGTGAAATAAAAAATTGCGAAACATTCGAACAAAATGAGAAAATTTTTACCGAAATAATAAAGAACATTTATGATTCATAAATAGAGAACACATTCTGTACTAAACTGTATTCTAAAAGATAATTAGATTGTTTTATTCTAGGACAATAACATAGGGAGAGAATATGAGCGATCAGTTTTGAAACATGGTTAAATAATTTTCAAAATAAAAGGCCATTCGTCGTCAAAGGCAACGATTGTATTATTATTATCAAGAAAATTAAATAATTATGGGAATGATATAATCATAACAATACGTTTTGACGGTTTAACACTAGACTTTAGTGACAAACTATTAACAGTCCCTATATTAGTAAAATTTCGGAAATAATATTAATATGAGTATTAATACTAGAAAACAGAAGCTTTCTGTATAATTTATCATTGGTTCAGCTCATTCGTTAAGAAATATTCAATAGTCGATTACCTATGAAAGTTTTTTTCAGCTTTAAACATCAGTATTAATGCAGAAGTTTTCTGGAGAATCTCTAAAAGTTCTCTGTAATCCTCGAAAAAGTTTGAGCATATGTCTGTTAGATGCGCCATCGTCAATTTCTGCTTAAAGTCTTCTGTTTCGGCTTCATATTCCAATATTTATGAAAAAGTTGTCTGAAAGTCCTCTGAAGATCCTTTGGAGAGTCGTGCATACGCCCATCGCATGCGCCACAGTTGATTATCTAGTTGTGCATTTTTGTTGCGCTCCAATCTCAATATTTCTTGAAATTTATTTTATTTCTCTTGACTGAAAGCCTAGGTCCATATGAAATAAATGTCAGCGTCCGCATAACACAAAAATGCAATAACTCTAATATAAACTGTGTAAGGTTTTAAGGGTTGATAATGAGGGAGTATAGGTAATCGAACATAACAAATCAGAAAATGACAATGAACGACCTCTAGGAGCAGTCCTATTAGTCGAACTTTCTATTTTCATACTGCTTTGCGACGCTGTATAGAAAGGTGCATCTAAATATCTCGGGTATTTTTCATGGTAGAAATTTCATTCTTTTTCCGTTCGATTCCCAAGAATGTATTATATAATAAGGCATGATCAATTATTTAATTTACCTGCTGCTAATTCAAAATATGGATTAGATTACGACTAGAACATGGTCAAAATTACCTAGAATTTTAGTTTATCATAATTAGCAATTAAATGCTAGTTTTCGCATTTGATAAAGATGACAGTATTATTAACAACTTTTACACCCATAGTAGTATTCAAATCGATTTTGGGAAGTCTATACAGATGCTTCTTTCCCAGGTCAACTCTCACGATGAACTCACGGCAGGACTCCCGATAAAAAGTCACGGCGTGAACACGTAAGAGGATTACTAAGATTCTCGCGAAATGATTCGCGATTTTCGCGATCACGAAGAAGTCACGATCATCAGATTTGAGTTTGTTGCAATCGCTATGTCGCGGCGTGAAACTTGCTCACTAAGTGAGAAATCACGCTGTCGCTGCAGGAGTCCTCGCTTATGTTTCACAATCACGACGGGATTTGCTAGGAGTCGTGAAGAACATCATCTTTGATACCATAAGCTGTTGCTAAACCATCTAAACGAAAAGATGCAGAGAAAAACTACGTTAAAGTCCAACATTTTTCGAAAAAATCATACACAAATGTGATTTTTCTTACAGCAACTACCTATTTTCGCTTCTCATCCAAAACAAAGTTACTAAGGCTGAGAAAAGAGCTCATTGTTTAGCTCGCTCCACACGCATGTTAAAAAACCAAAAAAAGAGTATTTCATTTTGTACTCAGAAACTGTTTTCGACAAAGTTTGTCACCCCAAAACTTCATTAATAGAATTCCTTCATCTACTCTAAAACAGGTCAGGCTTGGGCGAGTCCGAGTCCGGACTGGAAGATTTTTTGGAGGACTTGGACTTGAGTTTTTGTATTTCGAGTCCGATCGATTCAAGTTTTAACATAAATGAACACTAAATTTTTTCTTTAGTTTTATTGTTCTGAGTTCGATACAGTTCAAGGACGATCTGCACCTTTGCATTCAATATCAATGTGTGAGATATGGATTATAATAGATTAGAAATATTGCTCTCTCGGATAAATCTTAACTACTACAGCAGCTTGTTTTAAGTGCATAATAACAGTCCGAATGGAAACACAGTAGAAATTAAGCATATGACTTTATGTCTAACATATAAAGCTGTTATATAAGCGAAAAGTAGAGATTGAAATACTTATTATCAGATAAGACTATTAAAAAGAAAGAAGCAAAATATCTTACACGTATGTGGGTATCTAGAGAAGAGAGATATAGACATATGGTGATGAACCATACAGTAGAGACCTGCGGGAACAAATTTTCTCCATTCCCGTTTCCCGTTCCCGTAAAAAAGTTTTCTGTTCCCGTTCCCGGGAAAAATATTTTTGTTCCCGTTCCCGAAAATTCCCGTGTTCCCGTTTCCGAATTTTGTTCTTTCGGTGTATGGGAAAAGTATCATCATTAGTGATCGGCTTTGGGCGACATCATACCTTACGCAACTTTTTGTTGATAGATATCTATTGTCTTTTGTGTTAATTATGTATCAAAATAGTTATTGAAAATGAAAACCTGTTATATAAATAAACTTTGATACAGATAAAAATGAATTAGAACAGTTTTGGGAACGTCATTTTTTTTCAATTGTTCCCGTTGCCGATTCCAGCGGGAAACGGGACGGGACAATACGGGAAAAAGTCATTCCCGCAGGACTCTACCATACAGCCGAACGCTATCAAAAAGAAAAGAAAGAAAATCATCACTATATAATATGTCTATATCTCTCGTCTCTAGATACACACATCCACGCGAGGTATTTTACTTATTTTAATCTCTACTTTTCAATCAAGTCATAAATTTAATTTCTAACAGTTCGATCTTACGAGGGAGCGTTTCCAAGTGATCAAGCCCAAGTGATCAAGCGCTTTTTAATAGAAATCTAGTGGGTTATAGGCTATCGATCATGCTGATTCCGAATATGAATATGGGAGTTGCCCTTAGCACTTCGAAGATCCTGTCTTCTGGAAAACCAGTTTTTCAGAAACTCCAAAGAATAACAAAAATATTTTTTAATCAGGCAGGATTGTAGCGCGCAAATTTATGATTAAAATGAGACATCTCCCAGCTCTGCATGACCTTTCTATGCAAAGTTATAGAATTTACAAGAAAAGCCCTAAATTAATTTTTTTTCTTATTTCTGCAGTTTTGAGCTGACAATGGACAATTTAGGGCTTTTCTTGTAAATTCTATAACTTTGCATAGAAAGG